TGGGATGTTTAGATAATGTACCAATGCTACACACAAATAGAGAGAGATAATTCATCGATCTTCACCTGTCACATGTTTTTTGGGATACAATGACATGCATCATCCAAGTTAGCGAGAATGACCACTGTAGGTGCTGGTGATGGTGCCGTGCAGTTGCTTATAAAGTAGATGTAGGTGGTGGTCAAGGTTCCGTGCAGTTGGTAATGAGTGAGTGAGTGAGTGAGTTTAATTAAAGTCACGTCGGCAATATTTCAGCCATAATGTGACTTGAAAGAGTTGGACAAGATTAATAAAAAACTGTCGACGAAGGACAGTAGAATAACTAGCAGTATATCACAGATTGACTTAAAACTAGTTGTAGAACATTAAAACTATTTGAACAGTTGGATACGACACAATATAAAAATGGGGCTATAGATCACCAGCAACAAGGTGAAGGTCACCATACTAGGGACCAAGGGGACTTACTGTACCTCTGCTACCTGCATGGTTCCCCAGCAGGATTTACACCTTTACCAAAGTTACCGGTGATTGTTGCAAGTTTAGCCAGAGATTAAAATCAACAAATATTCTGCAGTTAAAATAGAGGTAGATATAAATATACATTGAAAGAGGTGGTCTTACATACCCTCTCAGGGGGACAATAATTTTACGCTACGTCAACCCCCGTCAAGGGCATAGCCACGAACAATCTCTGTTAATAATCATACACTACCGATTCATAAAATACATATCAAAATTTGTGAACTAGTTCAATATCTTTTAAAAAGTTAAGGATTAAATATGAATTAACATTGTTAAAAAGGTCCTTAACTGTTTTGACACTGAAATATTGATCCCTTGTGATGGAAAAATCGATACAGTCAAGCAGGACATGCCTGACTGTGATTCTTTCATCACAAGGGATGCAAAACGGAGGATCCTCACCTTTCAATAGATAATCATCAGTATATCTGCTGTGGCCAATACGACATCGTCGCATAACGACCTCATCAAATCTGGACTGACAACCCAAGTAGGTGTAACCAATATTGGGTTGAATGGCATGTAATTTATTGTCTACTTGGGTGTCCCACTTCTGTTGCATTAGATCACGGATGTAAGATCTTATTGCAGGTTTCAAATCACTATATGGTAGCAGAAGTGGTGTCACAGACTTGTTGAGCGCCGCCTTTGCAGCAGCATCGGCCATGGTATTTCCAGTTATGCCCACATGGCTCGGCAACCAACAAAATACGATGTCGCATTGGCCAGTTGAAAGATCATTGTATAGTTCTAAAATATGTAAAATAATCGGATGAGTAGAAGATACCTTAGTTAACGCCTGAAGACAAGAAAGAGAATCCGAAAAAATGATGAACTGTTTACATGAAGACTGTCGTTGAATATATACCAAGGCTGTAAGGATAGCATTGGCCTCAGCAGTGAAAATAGAGCTATTGTCTGGTATTCTAGACGATATAATCTTGGATCCAACGACAGTGGCACTTGCTACTTTGCCACCGTCCTTGGATCCATCAGTAAAAATTGAACGGTGAGTGTCATATTTGCTTCTCAGTTGTAAATATTCCTGTTGATATACTAGTTGATTTGTGTCAGATTTTAGAAAGCGTGTCAGTGAAATGTCTACTTCTGGCCTCACCAACTGCCAGGGAGGAGTTGACAAAAGCCGAGAAGGAGAGATAAGATCCAGATCTAGATTTGCATTAGTAATATGGGATTTGAGCCGGATTCCAAGTGGAGGGATCAGTTTCGGTTTCTTCTGAAATAGATTTTCATACAGGGGATAGAAAACGGAGTCATAAGCAGGATTAGAGGGGTTCGAACGTAATTTAGTAACATATTGAAGAGACAATTTAATACGGCGGTGTTTTAAGGAAGGTTCATCATCCATGACATAGAGGCTGTCAACCGGAGAAGTTCGAAAAGCACCAAGACAAAGTCTTAATCCTTGATGGTGGATTGAATCCAGTTTTTTTAAATTACTCTTACAAGCTCCAGCATACACAATGGAGCCATAGTCCAGCTTAGAGCGAATAAGAGATCTATATAAGTGAAGAAGGGTTTTCTGATCCCCTCCCCACTTTGAGTTTGAGACGACTTTTAGCAAATCTAAGGCCTTCAGGCATTTTGTCTTTAGATATTTAATATGTGGCAAAAAAGTTAGATGATGGTCGAAAATTAATCCTAAAAATTTGGCTTCTTTTACAATCTTGATTGGAGTGCCATCTAAAAAGAGTTTAGGATCTTTATGAGGTTTATATTTCCGACAAAAATGGATACAATTGGTCTTGGTCTGTGAGAACTTAAAGCCATTCTCAAGACACCATTTATGAATTTTATTAAGACACAACTGTAATTGGCGTTCAATAGTACGCATATTTTTACCACGACATGAGATATTAAAATCATCTACAAACAAAGACCCATCAATTGAGTCATTTAATACTTTAGATAAACTATTTATTTTTATGCTAAACAATGTAACAGACAAAATACTGCCTTGTGGAACCCCCTGATCCTGATTATAATGATCAGACAGGGTTGATCCAACACGAACTTGAAATTGTCTGTCCGTTAAAAACTGCGATATAAAATGAGGCAAACGGCCTCTGAAACCAAAGTCGTGTAAATCTTTTAAAATACCATGTTTCCATGTTGTATCATAAGCTTTTTCAAGATCAAAAAAGATTGATACAGCATGCTGGCTATTTACAATGGAATTTTTAATGAATGATTCTAAACGAACCAGATGGTCAATAGTACTTCGATTTTTGCGGAAACCACATTGAATATTGTTAATAAGATTATTGGTTTCTAAAAACCATACTAAACGGTTATTGACCATGCGTTCCATGGTTTTACAAACGCAGCTAGTTAACGAAATAGGTCGATAGTTAGATGGATCAGTATGATCCCGACCAGGTTTCGGTATAGGAATAACAATGGCATTGTGCCAGGAAGGAGGAAAGTGTCCAGTTGTCCAAATATGATCAAAAATATTTAGCAGTGTTTCTAGACATGGATTGGGTAAATGTTTAAGGAGCTGATAGTGGATATTATCAGCTCCTGTTGCGGTATCATGAGCTTGCGTTAGGGCAGTATTGAGCTCATGTAGTGAAAATACTTCATTGTAGTCTTCACCATTATCCGAATTAAAGTTAATAGTTTTCTTTTCTTGTTGATTTTTATATTTCTGAAATTTGGGATTATAATTGGCTGATGAAGAGTGTTTGGCTAAAGTTTCACCCAACTTATTTGCGATGTCCACTTTGTCAGTAAGTAGACCATGACCATCTTTAAGATGATGAACGCCAGAATATGAACCCTTCCCTTTGATTCTTTGTACCATGTTCCACACCTTTGTCATTGGTGTACGGGAATTAATCTTTGATACAAAGTTTCTCCAAGACTGTCGCCGATTTTGTTTGAACGTACGTCGAGCCTTGGCACCATTTATCTTTACATTATTGAAATTGTGAACTGTAGGGTGACGGCGAAAGTATTTTTCAGCCTTCCTCCTATTCTTCCTAGCCTGTTTGCAATCATCTGTAAACCATGGTTTACGAATGTGTGGTTTAACAGAGGACTTAGGAATAGTTACATCAGCAATATTATTCAGCGTGTCCGTGAATAACTGAAGAGGATCAGGGACGTTAAGAAAAATGTCAGATATCAATTTGTCAGTACAAAGTGTCTGAAATAATGGCCAGTTGGCCCTTTTAAAATTCCACCTTGACACAGGTGGCTCATTATTCGGGTTAATAGCAGAAAGTATCGTGGGGAAATGGTCGCTTCCACATAGATCATTGTGGACTGACCACTCAAATTCGTTATATACATTTGGATCTGTGAGTGACAAATCAAGAGCAGAATAAGTTCCAGTAGCGGGATGTAGATATGTGTCTGATCCATCATTATATATGCATAAATTATTATTTGAAATGAAGTCTTCCAGGATTTTCCCTTTGTTGTTGGTATCTGTGCTACCCCACAGAGGGTTATGCCCATTCAGGTCACCCATAATGACACAGGGTCTTGGGAGCTGATCAAACAAATCCTGAAGATCAGACTGCTGAAGAGGAGACGATGGTGAAATGTATAAAGAGCAAAGTGTGAAAGTTATATGTAAAGACAGACGGACAGCAACAGCTTGAAGGTTGCATTTAAGAGGGACGGGGCTATGGATGACATCCTGCCTCACCAAAATGGAAGCGCCACCTGTCGCCTTGTCACCTGGAGGTGAAAACGAATGATACGAATTGTACTGACGAAAATCAAATGTATCTGTATTTTTCAGGTAGGTTTCTTGTAAGCTAAAAGCTGATGGTTTAAAATCTTGTGATAATAACTGTAGATCATTGAAATTGTTCCTAAGTCCTCTGCAATTCCATTGTATTAAATTAGTGGCTCCACTCATGGAGGTTCAACCGGGAGACGTGAACGAGTAGAAGGAACATTCCCATGTACTGGGAGAGAAGGAGTGACCTCCATGTCCAATGGTTCATAAGAATTATGAACCGCTACAGGGCACGCGTCAGGAGAAGGCTCCTCCAAGTGCTGGAGTGCTCTGGCCTTTCTCCTCATTTGCTTTTTGGTCTGTTTTTTAGATAGATGGGCTTCGCCCTGAACTGATTCGATTTCCGTTATAATTTCTGGTTCAGTTGGTTGAATATGCGAAGTTGGCAAGTTTTCCGTTTGAGATGAAGACGTCATTGTTGAAGGCTTATCCGGAGACAATTTAGGTGCGTCATCAATGATGATCTGGTCATTGTGGACCCAAGAGATTTCAGTTTGACAATGAGTGGATCTCATTGTGATTTTGTGACCTTGACTCGGAGAAGAGACTGCAGCTGAATATAATCTATTTGAAGTGCTCTGAGAGGGAACAAGTAGTTTTTTAGCATCAGAGTAGGAAATGTTATTTGTATGTTTGATTTTTAGTATTTTCGATTCGTGATCGAAAATCGGGCATGATTTGGAGGACGACAAGTGCTCACCGCTGCAGTTAGCACATTTGATCTCATTTGTGCACTCTGTGCCCTCATGAGGACCACTGCAACGGGAGCATCTTGTCTTGGCCGTGCAAGATTTGGCCCCGTGACCGAAGCGTTGACACTTGAAACACCGGAGTGGATTTGGAACATAAACCTCCACTCCGATGTTAAAGTATCCAGCTTTTATTGATGATGGAACAGTAGAAGTTGAAAATGTGAAAAGATATGTCTGAGTTTTTAATATATTTCCATCTTCTGTTTTGCGTGTGAATCGCTTGACAGCGGTGACACCTTGATGCTTAAGTTCTGCTGCAATCTCGTCTTCAGTCATTTCTGAAAGACATCGTGCTCGATCTCGCACGATACCACGGCTAGAATTCAATGTCCTGTGCACTGAGACAGCAACCTGCGTGTTAACAAACTGCTGGAGACCCAGCAAGTTGATAGATTGCTGTCTCCGTGCACATTCCACAAGTATGGAACCAGAACGAAGACGTGTAACGTTCTTCACTTCACCACAAGTACTTTGGATGCCCTTTGATATGGCAAACGGATTAAGTTTTAAAGGAGTTTCATCGACCGATGCAATAACAATGAATCGAGGCCAAGAATCTGCAACAATAGGCGAAACCTCATCGTCAGACGAAACAGAATCGACATGACGACGTTTGTTTGCTTTGAAAGAACCAGGGGATTTGTTGTGAGACATGGTGTGAGTATGTAATTCGACATCTCTGCTCCCCACCCGCCATCGAGTGTCAACAAGGGCGATGCTGCAGAGGAAACCAATCTACAACGCCAGGGTTACAAAGGTGTTATACTCAAGCAATATAAACATAGGTAGCTATTTTTGACAAACAGAATTTAAAGTCAGGCTGGTTCGGCCCTTGACAGTAATCTGAAGTCACATAGAACCTAGAGGTTGATATATAGCCAGATTGGCCCATGAGCCACCGCCTTCTGGCGTAAGACTCTAGGCAATTTTTCAATCCAAAATTGATAATTCACACAAGTTATGGACGGCCAAGACCAAAATATACATCAAAATACAACACAGGTGTGCATTTACAATATTACGCACAGGGCCTGGCATGACCAGCCGATTGATAAGACCGGGCCCATCTTACCACCCGCCTAGGCGAAGTAAGGGTCGAAGTAGTGTGTTGGGCAAAGGAACACAGTTCCAGGAACCAGTGCCCTCAACTACCAGACTCCCGTCCTCCGCCGACACGGCAGGGACGCAACCCACGGCAAACGGGCTGCCCACTTTGGTCGCCTCTTACGACCAGCAATGGGGTGCTGTGGAAATATTCTACCCCGGTTCCACACGGGGGAAGAGCTATTAGCGCTACCCAGCACTCACCACGAGGAGGTTGCTCTTCACGAGTGCCAGTTGGTAATGAAGTAGATGTAGGTGCTGGTCGAGGTGTCGTGCAGTTGGTAATGAAGTAGATGTAGGTGGTGGTCGAGGTGTCGTGCAGTTGGTAATGATGTATATGTAGGTGGTGGTCGAGGTGTCGTGCAGTTGGTAATGATGTAGATGTAGGTGCTGGTCGAGGTGTCGTGCAGTTGGTAATGAAGTAGATGTAGGTGGTGGTCGAGGTGCCGTGCAGTTGGTAATGAAGTAGTTGTAGGTGGTGGTCGAGGTGTCGTGCAGTTGGTAATGAAGTAGATGTAGGTGGTGGTCGAGGTGTCGTGCAGTTGGTAATGAAGTAGATGTAGGTGCTGGTCGAGGTGTCGTGCAGTTGGTAATGATGTAGATGTAGGTGGTGGTCGAGGTGTCGTGCAGTTGGTAATGAAGTAGATGTAGGTGGTGGTCGAGGTGTCGTGCAGTTGGTAATGATGTATATGTAGGTGGTGGTCGAGGTGCCGTGCAGTTGGTAATGATGTATATGTAGGTGCTGGTCGAGGTGTCGTGCAGTTGGTAATGAAGTAGATGTAGGTGGTGGTCGAGGTGCCGTGCAGTTGGTAATGAAGTAGATGTAGGTGGTGGTCGAGGTGTCGTGCAGTTGGTAATGATGTATATGTAGGTGGTGGTCGAGGTGTCGTGCAGTTGGTAATGATGTATATGTAGGTGGTGGTCGAGGTGCCGTGCAGTTGGTAATGATGTATATGTAGGTGCTGGTCGAGGTGTCGTGCAGTTGGTAATGAAGTAGATGTAGGTGGTGGTCGAGGTGCCGTGCAGTTGGTAATGAAGTAGATGTAGGTGGTGGTCGAGGTGTCGTGCAGTTGGTAATGATGTATATGTAGGTGGTGGTCGAGGTGTCGTGCAGTTGGTAATGATGTATATGTAGGTGATGGTCGAGGTGTCGTGCAGTTGGTAATGATGTATATGTAGGTGGTGGTCGAGGTGTCGTGCAGTTGGTAATGATGTATATGTAGGTGGTGGTCGAGGTGTCGTGCAGTTGGTAATGATGTATATGTAGGTGGTGGTCGAGGTGCCGTGCAGTTGGTAATGAAGTAGATGTAGGTGGTGGTCGAGGTGTCGTGCAGTTGGTAATGATGTATATGTAGGTGGTGGTCGAGGTGCCGTGCAGTTGGTAATGAAGTAGATGTAGGTGGTGGTCGAGGTGCCGTGCAGTTGGTAATGAAGTAGATGTAGGTGCTGGTCGAGGTGCCGTGCAGTTGCTTATAAAGTAGATGTAGGTGGTGGTCAAGGTTCCGTGCAGTTGGTAATGAAGTAGATGTAGGTGGTGGTCGAGGTGCCGTGCAGTTGGTAATGAAGTAGATGTAGGTGGTGGTCGAGGTGTCGTGCAGTTGGTAATGATGTATATGTAGGTGGTGGTCGAGGTGTCGTGCAGTTGGTAATGATGTATATGTAGGTGCTGGTCGAGGTGTCGTGCAGTTGGTAATGAAGTAGATGTAGGTGGTGGTCGAGGTGCCGTGCAGTTGGTAATGAAGTAGTTGTAGGTGGTGGTCGAGGTGTCGTGCAGTTGCTTATAAAGTAGTTGTAGGTGGTGGTCGAGGTGTCGTGCAGTTGGTAATGAAGTAGATGTAGGTGGTGGTCGAGGTGTCGTGCAGTTGCTTATAAAGTAGTTGTAGGTGGTGGTCGAGGTGTCGTGCAGTTGGTAATGATGTATATGTAGGTGCTGGTCGAGGTGTCGTGCAGTTGGTAATGAAATAGATGTAGGTGGTGGTCGAGGTGTCGTGCAGTTGCTTATAAAGTAGTTGTAGGTGGTGGTCGAGGTGTCGTGCAGTTGGTAATGATGTATATGTAGGTGCTGGTCGAGGTGTCGTGCAGTTGGTAATGAAATAGATGTAGGTGGTGGTCGAGGTGTCGTGCAGTTGCTTATAAAGTAGTTGTAGGTGGTGGTCGAGGTGTCGTGCAGTTGGTAATGATGTATATGTAGGTGCTGGTCGAGGTGTCGTGCAGTTGGTAATGAAGTAGATGTAGGTGGTGGTCGAGGTGTCGTGCAGTTGGTAATGATGTATATGTAGGTGGTGGTCGAGGTGTCGTGCAGTTGGTAATGAAGTAGATGTAGGTGTTGGTCGAGGTGTCGTGCAGTTGGTAATGAAGTAGTTGTAGGTGGTGGTCGAGGTGCCGTGCAGTTGGTAATGATGTATATGTAGGTGCTGGTCGAGGTGTAGTGCAGTTGGTAATGAAGTAGATGTAGGTGGTGGTCGAGGTGTCGTGCAGTTGGTAATGAAGTAGATGTAGGTGGTGGTCGAGGTGTCGTGCAGTTGCTTATAAAGTAGTTGTAGGTGGTGGTCGAGGTGTCGTGCAGTTGGTAATGATGTATATGTAGGTGGTGGTCGAGGTGTCGTGCAGTTGGTAATGAAGTAGATGTAGGTGGTGGTCGAGTTGTCGTGCAGTTGGTAATGAAGTAGATGTAGGTGGTGGTCGAGGTGTCGTGCAGTTGGTAAGGAAGTAGATGTAGGTGCTGGTCAAGGTGCAGTGCAGTTGCTAATAAAGTAGACGCTGGTCCAGGTACTGTCAAAAGCGCTATATGCGTGGGAGCGGCGGAGGAGGGACCCTTATACCAGGAGGGTAGCATCCAGCTAAAACAAATATAAGAAAAACTAATTCACTTGAGCATTAATGAAATTCGTCTCTGCCTGGGTGGATTAAACAAACTAAAACTATATAAAACACACATAAATTACATATTGACTTCTTCTGAATACAAAATCACATACACAAAATGTGGTTTGATGACTGTGTATGTCGGTAATTTATATTCAAACCTATTCGAATTGGACAGGTCATTTTAACGCTTGCAACCTCACAGTGAACGGAAATGTTTTTATTTCAGTATTTCAGCAGTAATCTTGGCCTGTACATAAAATGAATAAAGTGTCATGCACATATACTAAGCTGACATGACGACACGCTGCTATATTCTCGCAGTGTAGCAACATTAACAAACCAAGCTGTATCACTTACATTATATAAAAATATGCCCTATCCTGCAGATAAAAACAACAAAACCCTGTCCATGTTCATATCTATACTAAAAGCAGAGTCGATTGTGCGATCATGAGCATGTGTTCATGAATCAATATCAACTATAGATGATAATAGTGTACAACACCCATCCTGCTATTTATACCACGCAACATTAGATGTATACATTTAACCAATAGCTGTACACACTGCTTCCACACTGGTGAAACCCTAATACAAAAGCTGTACACAATTAAACAACAGCTCTACACAAAGTTTCCACACAGTTGAAACCCTAATACAAAAGCTGTACACAATTCAACAACAGCTGTACACACAAAGTTTCTACACAGTTGAAACCCTAATACAAAAGCCGTACACAATTCAACAACATTTGTACACACTGCTTCCACACAGGTGAAACCCTAATACAAAAGACATACACAATTCAACAACAGTTGTTACACAATGCTTCAACACGGGTGAAACCCTAATACAAAAGACATACACAATTCAACAACAGCTGTACACAATGCTTCAACACGGGTGAAACCCTAATACAAAAGACATACACAATTCAACAACAGCTGTACACAATGCTTCAACACGGGTGAAACCCTAATACAAATGCCGTACACAATTCAACAACAGCTTTACACACTGTTTCCACACAGTTGAAACCCTAATACAAAAGCTGTGCACAATTCAACAATAGTCAACAGATGTCGACAGGTGTGTACATAGCAACATATGTGATTCCATAACAACAGTTGTACTTAATTCAGCACTAGTTCAATGCCTGTGCACAACAACTATACACATTGTAATGACAGCTCTATATCTTTGTACAACAGTTATACACAATCCACAATCGACTGCATATGTTTATGCAAAAGTGGTACACAAGAAAAAGACAATGCATCATCAGTTCTTTATAATCTAGCAACAATTTGACCCCCCAAGTCTGTCCTGTTAAAAGTTGCACCCTGCAACAACTCTCTTCCTGTGCAGTTGGCATGCAACAACATATGTATACGTTTTTGCAGCATGGCTTCTGCTTGCACCACCACCAGTTTCACCGACCCGTGAAGATTCCGGGGTAGAATAGGTCTTCAGCATAACCCATGCTTGCCGTAAAAGGTGACTATGCTTGTCGTAAAAGGCGACTAACGGGATCGGGTGGTCAGGCTCGCTGACTTGGTTGATGCATGTCATTGATCCCAATTGCGTGGATCGATCCTCATGATATTAATCACTGGATTTTCTTGTCCAGACTCGATTATTCACAGACCGCCGTCATATAGCTGGAATATTGCTGAATGCGGCGTTAAACAACAAACCAACCAACCAACAACATATGTATACGTTTTTGCAGCATCGCATCTGCTGCCACCACCACCAGCTTCACCTTTAGATTGTCCTTCTGGAGGACGGGGAGTCACATCCTTCAGGTGCAACTCTTCTTTCCCTGCAACAGGAGCGCAGTTGTATCAGCATCATGTCACATTGACCTAATGTAACCATCCCCAAGGCTGCACTATTACCACAATACTTATAAGTAATGATATATTTAACAACTACTTATATACCTTGTTGCATCAGTGCCGTTAGCAAAAAAGAGTGGATACATATTGTTAACAACACAATGGTTACCTTTACTCCGTGTTTCATCGGAATCCAAGAAGGCACCTACAACAAAATAAGTGTTTTGTCAGCACCAGAGTGTCACAATCTAACGTCTTCAACGATAATACATCATTCTACAATGGAAAGTAATCAGCCCAGCCACCGAGCCTGACCATCCAATGCAATGAAGTAGCCTCCATGTCCAGTTTCCTTACCAACAAGAATTTGTTACAGGAGAGTTCTTCCCAACAATGTCCACCGTTCAGGATCAACCATGCATGCTGGTCTGCATTAAGAGTCTTTCATATTATAATAGTATTTTTTTCAATATTCTTTGTTATAATAGTATAAATTATGAAGAAAAGCGTAGGGGGGCATGAAATATACATATTAAAACGGAATAAAAGTGTTGTCAACAAACGTCTGACGTTAAAGAACGTTTACGTCTGTAAAACGCACCTCTAAATCGCGTCCTATGTTTTGCATGTGTCTCACTATCACAGTGGTGAACAATAATTAGATCTCTATAACAGAGATCAGCCACAGTTTTATTAAATTAATTAAAAGCCTTACACTAGGTTTACCCGCAACTGAGTGCATAACGTCAGATGTCCCTGTACTACATCATGTTCACCTGTAATTGGGAGCCCAAAGTCAGATGTCCCTGTTCTACACCAGGTTTACCCGTAGCTGAGTGCATAACGTCAGATGTCCCTGTTCTACACCAGGTCTACCAGCAACTGAGTGCATAACGTCAGATGTCCCTGTACTACATCATGTTCACCTGTAATTGAGAGCCCAAAGTAAGATTTCCCTGTTCTACACCAGGTTTACCCGCAGCTGAGTGCATAACGTCAGATGTCCCTGTTCTACACCAGGTCTACCCGCAACTGAGTGCATAACGTCAGATATCCCTGTTCTACACCAGGTCTACCCTCAACTGAGTGCATAACGTCAGATGTCCCTGTACTACACCAGGTCTACCAGCAACTGAGTGAGTGAGTTAAAGTTTAACGTCACATCGGCAGTATTTCAGCCATATCGTGACGAAACAAAATTTGATATGAACAATAGATATTAAACTATATAAAATTCTGCTGACAAAGAGCAGTACAATAACTAGAACATCACAGAATTTCGTAAAACTAGTTTGAGAACAAGTAAAACTTGAGAACTAACTAATCATTTAACAACACATTATAAAAACAGGCTATAGATCGCCACCAACTGAAGGTTGATCACCGCGCTGGGGACCATGGGGACTTACAGTACTTTTGCTACCTGCATGGACCCCAGTCGGATTTACATCATCCCTTCAGTTGTTGACGACGAGTGACAAATTTAGCCAAACAGTAAAATAACACATATACTACTATTAAAAGCGTGGAAGAAATAAATATACCTTGAAAGATGTGGTCTTACATACCCTCTAAGGGGGACAATAATTTTACACTACTTTAACCCCCTTCGAGGATATAGCCACTAACAATCTCAGTTATTGATTAGTTCAACCAATTATAAGATGCATTTATTTATTTACAAAACAGAACAATCAAAACTTATGGAGCAATTCAATTTCCTTTAAAAAAGCAATAATTAAATGAGAACTAATAGTGTTAAAAAGATCCTTCATAGATTTAACCTTGAAATAGTTATCCCTTGTGATGGAAAAATCAACACAGTCAAGCAGTATATGCTTGACCGTGATTCTTTCATCACAAGGGATGCAGAATGGAGGATCTTCACCTTTTAAAATATATTCATGAGTGTAACGGGAATGGCCAATACGACATCGTCTTAAAATGACCTCTTCAAATCTGGACTGACAACCCAAGTAGGTATAACTGATATTTGCTTTTATTGCATGTAATTTATTTATACCCACTTGGGTGTCCCACTTCTTCTGCATTAGATCTTTGATGTAAGATCTAATGACAGGTTTATAATCACTGTATGGTATCAGAAGTGGTGTCACAGATTTGTTGAGTGCTGCTTTTGCAGCAGCATCAGCCATTGTATTACCAACAATTCCAACATGACTGGGTAACCAACAAAAGACGATGTCATATTGGCCAGTCGCAAGGTTATTATGTAGTTCTATGATATCGAGTAAAATGGGATGCTGACACGAATTATTGCTAATAGCCTGAAGACAGGATAAGGAGTCTGAAAATAGAATGAATTCTTTATGTTTAGATTGTTTATTTATATATTCTAAAGCAGTTAATATTGCTTTTGATTCAGCTGTAAAAATTGAAGATTTATCCGGTAATCTAGTTGATATAGTTCTGGATCCAATGACGGTGGCGCTGGCAACAGCATCACCGTCCTTGGATCCATCAGTAAAAATAGATTTATAAGTATCATAGTCACACCTTAACTGATTGTATTCTTGTTGATATTGTAATTGATTTGTGTCAGACTTCTTTAGTTTAGATAAGTTAATATCCACCTGTGGCTGTACCAATTGCCAAGGAGGAGACGAAAGCTGGCGGAAAGGAGATATAATTTCAAGTTTAATATCGGCAGCAGAAATGAAAGGTTTTATTCTTATTCCGAGAGGCGGAATAAGAGAGGACTTCTTACCGTACAGATCCTCATAAAGAGGATTAAATACACAACTGTATGCAGGGTTAGACTGATTAGAATATAATTTTGTGATGTACTGTAGAGATAGTTTGATACGGCGTTGTTTCAGGGATGGCTCATCGGCCTCAACATATAGACTGTCAATCGGAGAAGTTCTGAAAGATCCAAGGCAAAGCCTCAGACCCTGATGATGTATGGGATCAAGTAATTTAAGATTACTTTTACAGGCTCCACCATAGATGATGGAGCCATAATCGAGCTTAGAACGAACAAGTGATCTGTATAAGTGGAGGAGGGTCGTCTGATCCCCTCCCCACTTGGAATTAGAAACGACCTTTAATAAATCTAGTGCCTTCAGACATTTAGCTTTCAAATATTTAATATGTGGTAAAAACGTAAGATGATGATCAAAAATTATTCCTAAAAATTTAGCTTCTGTTACAACATTTATTGGAGATCCAGCTAGATGTAATTCTGGGTCCTTATGGGGTTGATACTTTCGACAGAAATGGATACAATTAGTTTTAGATTTAGAAAATTTAAAGCCGTTCTGCTCTGCCCAAACATTGATTTTATTTAGACAAAGTTGCAACTGTCTTTCAATCGTGTTCATATTTTTTCCTCGACAAGAGATATTAAAATCGTCAACAAATAACGACCCATCAATAGAGTCATTCAAAACCTTAGCTAAACTATTAATCTTGATACTAAATAACGTTACTGATAAGATGCTACCTTGGGGGACACCTTGATCTTGATCGTAAAAATCAGACAAAGTGGATCCCACACGTACCTGGAAATTTCTATCTGTTAAAAACTGTGATATAAAAGAGGGCAAACGGCCTCTCAACCCCATCTCATGAAGATCCTTTAAAATTCCATGTTTCCAGGTCGTATCATATGCTTTTTCTAAATCGAAAAATATAGATACGGTGTGTTGTTTATTGATGATAGCATTTTTTACAAATGATTCTAATCTAACTAAATGGTCAATAGTACTTCTATTTTTCCTGAAACCACATTGAATATTCGTTATTAGATTATTTGTTTCTAAGTACCATACTAATCTATTATTGACCATTCTTTCCATGGTCTTACAAACACAGCTAGTAAGCGATATTGGCCTATAATTTGAAGGATCAGTGTGATCCCGTCCAGGTTTTGGGATTGGAATGATAATAGCATTCCGCCATGACGAAGGGAAATTACCAGTTGTCCAGATATTATCAAATATATTTAATAGTGTTTCTAAACAGGATTCAGGTAAATGTTTAAGTAACTGATAGTGGATATTATCAGCACCTGTGGCTGTATCATGAGCTTGCCCTAAGGCAGTATTTAGCTCATGAATGGAGAAAACTTCATTATAATCTTCACCATTATCAGAGTTAAAATTGATTTTCTTTCTTTCTTGTTGGTCTTTAAATTTCTGAAATTTTGGGACATAATTAGATGATGAAGAATGTTTAGCTAAAGTTTCTCCTATTTTATTGGCTATATCAGTTTTATCAGTTAGTAATGTGTCACCCTCTTTAAGATGGTGAACACTAGATTTGGAGCCTTTACCTTTTATTCGTTGCACCATATTCCAAACCTTAGATATTGGAGTTCTTGAATTTATTTTAGTAACATAATTACGCCAAGATTGGCGTTTATTTTGTTTGAACGTACGACGTGCTTTTGCATTCAAAATTTTTAATTTATTTAGATTGTGGACAGTTGGGTGATGGCGGAAGTATTTTTCTGCCTTTTTTCTAGCTTTCCTAGCTTGTTTACAATCGGAGTTAAACCATGGCTTACGTACATGTGGATTTGTAGAGGACTTTGGTATACATTCATCAGCAATGTCTTTTACAACGTCAGAAAAAACCTGAATAGGATCAGCAATATCACTGAAACATTCGGGTTTTATTTTATTTAAACACAGTGTTTGAAACAAAGGCCAGTTAGCCTTTGTAAAATTCCATCTTGTTGAAGGAGGAACATCAGTCGGATTTACAGTTGATAGGATTGTTGGGAAATGGTCACTTCCACAAAGGTCATTGTGGACTGTCCATTCGAATTCGTTGAGTAGATTAGAATCGGTTAGAGACAAATCTAAAGAAGAGTAAGTGCCAGTTGCAGGATGCAGATAGGTGTGGGAGTCATCATTGAAGATACACAGTTCATTAGTAGATACAAACTCCTCAAGAATCTTACCTTTTGTGTTAGTATTTGTACCACCCCATAAAGGGTTGTGGCCATTCAAATCACCCATGATGACACAGGG